AAGACCGGCGCTCCCTGCCCATGGCTCCCTGTGCACTGGAAGCCCTCCTTCCGGGGCCTACGAGGCAGGGAGTCAGTATGTCATTTTTTTATGTAGCATTGTAGTACAACAGTAGCATTGTAGTACAACTTCAGATCTGTAATTGGATGCTTAATGTTTTACCCTTGTTGCTCAGGACTGCCTCTGATATTCTGGGTTTCTTCTGGTTCCATATCAAATTTAGGATTGTTTTCTACAGTTCTGTGAAGAATGGTATTGGTGTTTTGGTTGGGATTGAAGTAAATCTGTATAATAGTTTTGGAACTATGGGTATTTTGACTATATTGGATCAGCCTATCTAGAAACAAGGGATACCTTTCCATTTTCTGATGTTCTTTTTTATCTCCTTTTCCAGACTACTGTAGTTTGAGTTGTAGATGTCATTCCCTTCCTTGGCTAGACTTGCTTCTACATATTTAATTTTTCCTAGATGCTATTGTGAATAACACTGCTTTCCTAATTTCTTTCTTGGTGGTTTTATTGGTGTGCAGTAATGTTATTGATTTTTGTGTGTTCATTTTATATCCTATTGCATTGCTGAATATGTTTATTAAATCTAGGAAGCTTCTGGTGAAATTGTTTGGATCATAGGACAATTTTACCTCTAGTAACAGTAGAACAGTATTTAGTAGTAATAGCATAGAATTCACTATTAAAGATCATAAAGCTTACTGGTTATACTAGTAAGATAAAGGGGGTGTAGAACTAGAGAATTAGAGAAATAAAATTAAAATATTAATTTGAAAAATCACAAGAGAAAAATGGGATAGGGGATTCTGTTGAGGAATAAAATGAAATTGATAGGATTAGAAAACAGTTACAGAAAAGAACACAGAAGAAAAAGGAAAGGAAGAAGAAGTAAAATTGGGAAAAAAGAACAATAAGAAGGGAAAAAGAAAGGAGAAAATTAAAAAGCAAAAGAAGAAGCATTTTAATTTGCATTTCTTGAAGGACTAGTTATATTGAACATTTTTCATACATCTGTTTGCCGTTTGTAGTACTTCTGAAAAGTATGTATTTCCCTCAGATGCTCATCTTCGGTTTTGATTCTTTTCAGTTCTTTATATATTCTAGATATCATTGTTTTGTTTGAAGAACACCTGGTGAATTCTTTTTTCCTAGCCTGCTGCTTGTTTCTTTGCTGATTCTTGTAGTACTTCCTATGTAATTGGAGTTTTGGTCATAAAGTCTTTGCCTCCACTTACATCTTCAAGAGCTCTGCCTGTTCTCTCCTCCAACAAATTTAGTGTTCCTGTTTTAATACTTCAATGCATTTCAATTTTAGTTTAGTGCATGGTGAGAGGCATGGGTCTAGTTTTAATTTGGGCATGAGGAAAGCCATTTTTCCACACCATTTATTAAAGAGGTTATCTTTTTTCCAGTGATGCTGTTTGACCCCCTCTATAAGGTGGCTGAGTGTTTTTGGAGTTTTTTTCTGGGTATTTTTTATCTGTTTCATTGATGCTTGGGTCTGTTTATTTGTTGCAAGTACTATACTGTTTACATCATAGTAGCTCTGTAATATAATTTCAAGTCAGGGACTATGATGCCCTTGCCTTGCCTTTGTTGCCCAAAATTGTTTTTGCTATTCTATATCTCTTCACATTCCAAGTGAATTTTAATAATGTATTCTCTAGGCTTGTGAGGTATATTGTTGATATTTTGATCAGGATTGCCTTAAATCTGTATGACAGTTTTGGGAGTATGGCCATTTTTACTATGTTAGTTCTTCCTACTCAAGAGCAAGGGATATCTTTCCATTTTCTGATATCCTCTTTGATCAAGCTCTTGCCTTATAATTCCATTCTTGGAATGATATTTTACATTTATGTTGTTCCATTAGTAGCTTTCCAGAAATATAAGAATCCTTATTTTCTTTCCTTCCTACTGAATTAAATTTCCCTTAGAATCAAATTTCACTTAACCTGTCCTTCACTGTTCTACTTTTTTGTAAATTCCTACCAATGACTAATAGCTGTATTATAAGAGAAAGTAACCTATTAACTTATAATTACTTTTACAGGAAATTTTTGATAATTTCTTATCCATTTATTTAATGAATCTGAGAGATTCTTTTAAAGCAATACACTTTAGCCAAATGATTTTTTTAATTGAAGAAAGTTAACTGAAGTTTTCCTATTCCAGTTGTATCCTAAACATACATTTAATTCTGAAACGGGTAAAGTTAGCTGATAAGAGTAAGGAGTGCAAAGAAGGAAAGTACAAAGAGAAGAACTGGAGTTTGGAAAATTCTATGGAGATTGGAGGAGAATTTTACTGAAACAATGAACTTATTAACAACTAGAGAAACTTCAATATAACCCAAATTCTAAACATTCAACAAAAGAATTTTAAGCATAAAGAAAAGGATTATGTATAACTATCAGTGTTTGTTAATAAAAACTGTTGGAATGTAGAAAATTATTGGAGTGGGGGTGCAGAAGATCATCACAGTGGCTAACGGGGTACTCTGTTTATTTAAATGACCATATATGTCTAGTGAGTGACACATTGAAGACTGTAGATCTAAAAGAGTTCATCAGTTTTATTGTTATGCCCCAAAGCCTTAGATCCATGAGCTGAATTGTATCTATATTCTCTGTAGCACTGAATGAGACTATCAATACATTGGATCACATGAAAGAACGTTCTCAGTTTGATAAAGAAAAATATTCAGATTTACTTGAAAATACTGACAGACATCCTGTTACTGATGATACTCTTCAAATAATAAAGGATAACTACTTTGCTGAAGGTGAGTTGATTAAGCAAACAACCTTGT